AAAATAATATAAAGGTGTTTGGAATGCCAGGCTTGAGAGAGAATTGATATTTCTTTGGTTTGTAACTTAAGCCGAGACTTTGATGATATTTTAAGATTGACAGAATTAGAATAATCTTTCATAATCATAATCCCTAGGATTGTGCGTATAATATGTTATCCAGGCATTCACTTCTTAACAAAATGATAAAAATGAAATAAAAAAAGAGATAATTCCATACTCTCCAATTTAAAACATTTTTATTTCTCTCTCTCTCTCTCTCTCTCTCTCTCTCTCTCTCTCTCTCTCTCTCTCTCTCTCTCTCTCTCTCTCTCTCTCTCTCTCTCTCTCTTCTCTCTCCTCTCTCTCTCTCTTCTCTCTCTCTCTCTCTCTCTCTCTCTCTCTCTCTCTCTCTCTCTCTCTCTCTCTCTCTCTCTCTCTCTCTCTCTCTCTCTCTCTCTCTCTCTCTCTCTCTCTCTTCTCTCTCCCTCTCCCTCCCTCGCACCCACACCGGAGGCCCCGATGCACGGCGCGAGAGCGGTCTGTCTCCGCCAAGGCCTCCAGGAGCGACGCGCCGCGGCCGCGCCCACCCCGACGGCGCGCGACCCGGAGGAAGAAATCCTGACAGACACAAAAGCACACTGCGGGAAAACTGCGCCCGAAGATAGAAAGAAGGGAGAGAGAGGGGGGGGGGAGATGGAGAGAGAGAGGGAGGGAGGGAGGAGGGAGGGAGGGAGGGAGGAGGGAGAGGAGGAGAGAGAGAGAGAGAGAAAGAGAGAGAGAGTGAGAGAGAGAGAGTGAGAGTGAGAAAGAGAGAGAGAGAGAGAGAGAGAAATGAATACATGCATACTTAAATATACATACATACATACATACATACATACATATATATAATATATATATATATATATATATATATATATATATATATTATATATATATATATATATATATATATTATATATATATATATATATATATATATATATATATATATATATATATATATATATATATATATATATATTATATATATATATATATATATATATATATATATTATATATATATTATATATATATATATATAATATATATATATATATATATATATATACACACACACACACACATACACTTGTGCTTGTGTGTGTGTGTGTGTGTCCTTGTGCTTGTGCTCGCGGTGTACTCTTCATAGTATATCTTATTATCGCTATGAACTTTCCACCTGCATCAAATATTCACAAAAGCTAGTTTGCTCATCAGTGTTTCCACGAGCGCATCCTGAGCGCCTTTCGCTAGGGAGAGCAGCTCGTCCATCTCGACGCACAGGCGGGAAACATTCGTCTTTGGTCGTAGGGAACGAAGAACAAATATCAAGATTTTGTGAACATTTTGTGCTGCATGCACATTTTTGTGGGATGTGAATTCAGGTTTGCATATATTTTTTTTTGCGAGACATGGGAAATTGAGCATGACATAGTGCATAAATAGAGTATCTGGCAGACAATCAGCTTATGGGCCCAGTGCACTGATGGCGCTCTGGTCTGTGCGGGACTGCAGCGGTTCAGGGATCAAGGGCCGGGGAGCCGCTGAAGTGAGTGCTATTTGTTCAATTTAGTAAATGTTATTAGAAAGTACTATTAGTCTGTGCACGATGCATTCACTGCCAGAATGAACAATGCTTTTCCGTTTGTTCCTTGTAAATCATATATATTTCTTGTATTGCGTTTTCACTTGATTAAGGAATTGATCCGTTGCGGTTCGATCGAAGGTACAATTTGTTTTAGATTAAGAGAATTTTCTTATTCTATTAGATGCAGTGTAGAATATTGCACATTACCGAGGGATATGTTTTTGTGTTTTTTATGAGGTCTACATGCACTGGCTTCATAATTTTCTCCGGAAAATGCAGTGCTCAACATTACCGTATTCCAGTTGTGAGAAACATTTTCTTTGCATTTGATGTTCAACTTTATATAATTTACTTAGGGATTTAGACAGTCGGGTTTTCTCTGCTCTTTATGATCCACATCATGTGACAGCTATTTATATTTTGGATGTTTTTGCTGTTGGATTTCCTTTGCTATTTGTTATTTGATATTGTGGGTCGAAATCTTTATCAATAAAGAAATATTGCGACTAACAGGCTTGTGATCCTTATCTCCTAATACAATTTGTATGCATGTATGCCCTTACATACGTATATATGTGTGAATGTATGTAGTTAGTATGTATATATTTGTGAATGTACGTACGTATGTATTTATGTGTATATGTAAGTGTGTAATGTATGTATGTGTTTGCATATAGGAAAGTAAGTCAGGCAAGAAAAAGTTCATATTAAATCTTGTTATCGTGATTAAGAAAATCTATAAAAAAAGGTCGAGGCCTGAAAGTTTTCCAAAGGGAATCTTTTCTGTTGCAGAATAAGGGAGGGGAAAGACAGAGGAGAAAACAGGAGAGGGAAGAGGGGAAAGGAGCTTAGCGGCAGTAATGCCAGAGAGTGTTTTGCGGAGCGT